TTAAAGAAGTTAAATATTTGTTCTATGAAACAGACAAACTATAAAATCTAAAAAGCACGTGCATAATTCTTAAACCGGAGAAAAAGTTAATTTTATTAATCAGACAAAGCTGCATTGGAGAAAACTACATGAATAGGAATAAAATCAAGCTTTAACCGAATTTTTAGCAATTTGAAAAAATGTGCGAGCGAATTTGATTTAATATTTTATTTCAATATTTATATCTAAAGCTTTCTTGTTATAAGACTTTTCCGTTGAGATATCTCTGGATATGCTTTTTTCGGTTCAATTTCTCTAGTCCAAAGATTCAGAAATTTAAAATATATTTTTAGAAAACTCTCTCTTCTTGGACTAGTAAAGCAAAGCTGGATTAAACGCTCCACAGGATTGTTTAAATATCTCGCCAATCGTACAAAATATAAAAATTGTATTTTTGTTTACATAAACTATTCTAATTTAGACCAAACAAGTCCGAAAAGTACCACTTATCTTAAATAGTATAATTAAAACAAGAAACTGGTAAAATCTTGTGAAAGATGTATAACGTTTTTTGTTACGGTCAATTTTATTTGCATATTTTCACGCAATGCTCTCTGAACCAATCCCCGTCTGCAGTTTTCAGCACGTGTTTTCAAACTATTTATAACGATAACATTTTGAAGTTTCCTTTGCAAGTCAGTAGTTAATATCAAAATAGATGTGTCACCCTAATGTAAATTAATAGTTATTGTCGATGTTTAAGCCTATTTTCAATTAAGTATGAAATTTTAAATTGTCTGATCAAAAAAAAATTATAGATGGAAAAACTATAAGCTTTCAAGTTCCTGAAAATACATACCTACTTTGATTTGAAATTTTCAGCTAAAATTACTTTCGAAAAACAGTTAAAAAGCAACCAAATACCTACACTTGAATTTCAGAAAAGCAAATAGATCACAATAGTTCAAACTTCAATTCTGTTTCCAAAAAGAATTGTTGCATTTAGTTTCAAAAACATAATCTTATAAGATATTTTATTTTATGTCTATGGAATCATCTCTTCTGAAATTAGGGACACTATTCATTGATCTCTCATGAGTTCGTGCTGATACTACTAGTACTTAAAAAAAAACACTTCAGTAGCATTGTTATTATGCATTAAGGCATTTTATTTGCACAATGCTGAATAGGTTCCTCATCCACATTTTCCTGACTAGTGCAACTTAACAGCAAACCAACTATGAATCCTATTTCAACTCATGTGAATTGAACTTTTCCCGTTCAAATCAATGTGGATTTTTTAAAATTTAGCACCGAATAACTGAGCAGACGCGCAGCTGCGATATTCAGCAACGCAGCTGAAATACCTGCAAGCTTCGCTACACGCGTTGGGCGGAGAACCGGAGGCTTAAGCCTCGCCTACAAAAGGCTCGCAGGCGTTTCTGCTGAACTTTTGCTTTACAACTAGCTAATCGACCAATGAGAAACCGGCGTTATGTCGTTACCCAAGCGTAATAGATACCTAATTGTGTTGAGCCGCAAGAGAACCCGATTACATTTTATCAGAGTCATTGTTGTTGGGTTTCTGGTTGGTAGCGGGCGTAAGAAATGGGAGATTTTATTTTATTGCTCATTATTATCTGGTAACCGCAATAAGGCAGCGTTTTATTCAACTGGATTTAATTCCAATGAGCAGGCTGACCTTTTGACGGTTACTGATCCGAAACATCAGACAAATTATTTCAAACTTTGATAAACAACGGCCGTCCGAAGCAATTTCGAGAAGACTCTGAATACAATGGAAGTTGCAAGTTGTGATTCTCATGTAATTAAATATTTGAGGAGCTGTTGGAAGCGATATTCTCAGCGTGTTTTATATAACTTGCTTAGCTCCCATCAGATTATTAATATTTGTTTATCATTATTTTTGTAGGATGGATGGATATTTACAGGAAACGCATCTCAAATTCCAAATTTGCCAATTCCGACCGAACAAAGAGTAAAATGGCCAACAGTTCTACCACTAATCCCATAAATATAGCAATTTCAAATGCGTTTTTGTTGCTTCTGTTCACCAGAATGACGAAGTAGAAGTTAGGTTTTATAACAACCGTTTACTGCAAATTGCTCGCCTACTCGCTTGCTTGCTGTCTGGACAGGCGTTTATCGTTTCGCCTTTCTTCAGTTGTCTGCAAGTGGACTTGATAAATAAAAGTTATTTAATAGACATTTCCACAATTTCTTTAACATTGATTGAAACCCATTTACTGGAAGATCAAACATGGGAAGCAGTAGAAATTTAAAAAATTTAAACAATGTATCATAAATAAACTCAATCCCAAAAGCATCAAACTAGAAGTCGATTTCGCGACAAATAAGATGCAGTTTTTCGTAGTACTATGTGAAAGCACCAGATTTTTCTTTTAGAAATTGAGTGTTTTACCCGATTGTCTCAGACGACCACAAAGACTTATTATCGCCTGCTAACCAACGACTATTAACCACTTAATAGGCATTCTCAATTTAAAATCAATCAAGTGGCGTTTAAAAATCGTTAATTGTTTTCTCGCTTTTTTGGTATCTCTAAGAGACCGAAGGTGTAAACAGTTTAAATAGATTTTTATCTCTTTTAATCACTGCGTGACTGGTTACTTACGTCATTATGGATCATAATTCTCTCGATGCGGCTCCTACACTACAAAAAGAATCTCTTCGATACTTATTTTATTTTAATTTTTTTAATTTGCATCGAACATTTTTTACGTCGCTCTGTGATCAAACCTGCTCAAATGCAAAAAAGCAGAAAATAATGCATGCGGCGACTTTGGTTGGATTTTATTGGTTTCATCTGACTTTCAAGTAGGTACACAAATTTAGAGTTTCAGGTAACATGAGAGATCCCTGTTTTCTTCGGCTGGACAGAAACTTAAACTTTCTAGAAAGAGACGTTCGTCTTTGCAAAAGTTGCAAACATATTCGGGCTCAGGTTGCACTCATTCAGAATTTAAAAACCCAACTAAAGATGTTTAAAATGGCATCTTCGAAGGATCCTGGAAACTCTCGGCATTTAAAAAATTGCCAGCATATCTCGGCTAAGGTTGTTATCCACTGCTTATTGTCGTAATTCCACATAAGATTACATTTTACCGGATATTTCATATGCCCCCATACAAAAAGATCAAGTGGATTTAAATCGGGACAACAGCGAGGCCAAACTCTCCGGTTCCCTTCGTATTATCCATTGTTCAGGATAAACTTGATTTAAATATTTTCACAGAGGAAGTTTGAAGTTCGTTGTCTCAATATCCCAGAATTGCTCGATAAAATCGAAAAGTGAGAGGTTTTTATACATCATACCTACCTCTCATGTTACTTACTTACTACGACAGATGAAAATGATAATTTTCTTGTACTCATCTTATTCCGTCATATTAAGTATGAAAGTATAAAAAAATAGTAATAGTCATTTTAAATGCTTCCCAAATTTCAATACTCGGAAAAAACGGCGTGAACATCTCCAAGTTATACCGTCAAGAAGGGTAGACTCATCCTGAATAAAGTGTTAAAGATCTAACTGAATCTTTGAGGCTTTTAGAGTTTTTCCTTGCCAAATAAAGCATCTAAAAACACTTTGGCACTTCCATGATTTTTGCGAAAATCGTATGGCATTTCAAAACCTCTAAAATTCAATAGATTATAGAATTAAGTCTAAACGGAAATATATATTTTTGAAAAATCTCTTATTAATTTATTAGCAGGATCAAACGCTTTAACATTATTATATTAAATCTGTTACTCAAAAACTCTTTACCCACATCTGCTTGACGTTAGAGTTAATCAAACCGCAGCTAACAAATTGGCAAATGTTAAGGGTCCCTAAGCTTATTCTGCAATGTTCAATTTAGTACTTTTACTTTGAACACTTGTACACTTTACTTTGAATTTTCTATTCACAATTTTCGCTCTCTTCGCATCGACTTCCAAGATTTAAATACAAATCGAGTTTGCAGTTTTGCAAATAGTCAAGTTTACATTCATTCAAGCATTCACAAAGATCCAAATATTTCACCGATAGTTTTAATCCCTTACTTTCGACGCTGAAACTTCGACCAGGAATTGTTTCTTGATACAAATGATAGATTTTCTGGTTATTTTTAGTTAATAGCAACTGTTTCAGATTGGTTTTCTTGGTCCAAAGTCTCGAAACACTGAACTTCAATTGAATGTGTATGAAATCGGTACAAATGTCCAAAAAACTCTAGCTTGGCCTCAAAATGCGAGTTTTCCCTGAATACAGACGTTTTCATTAGTCAAGATTCATATTTCTTACAACAAACTAAGGTTTTTATCCTCAGTTCAATTTTAATGGTCAAGGTAAGCATATATCAGGTGCCTTCCAAATAATTGAACTTCACGTGGTTATTCAAAAAACTTCGAGAAATTGCAGGAAAGCGCAGGTACCTAGATATGGGTTCTTCTGTTTCTCATTTTGCTTTTGCTTGTACCAAATCTACTGCATTCGTCTTGTAATAGCAGGAAGACGGTTTTTTTAGCAAGTTCAAAATTTCTCCAAGTTAAAAAATGCATTCCAGTAAAAAGCAAAATTCATGAGAAATTTCGCATGTGGAAAGTCAGCGATCTATTTTCAGACGAGCATATACAAATCTGGGATCAATTAACGAGTAAAAAAGCCCGACAGCATCGAGAAGATCCAAATCTCGTCCCGAACAAGCTCTACACTCCTACAGCAAGACAAATATATCCTCGGGAGATAAAAAGAGATAAAGCTACAACTGAAACACCTTCAGTAACGGATATCTCTTAAATAGGAACAAGAAGCCGGTAATATGTCAATAAATCCTTACAACTTCTCTAGTTATCGATGATCTCTATGTTGCGTCTCTTTCAAACCCGCACTAACTGTAGACTTATCTGTCTCAGTCACACCAACTGAAACCTAAGCAAACCGAGTGGGCTTGGCATTCGTCCTGAAAGACTGCCTATCGTTTATCCTTTGCAACCAACCGGTGGCGGTTATAGAAGTTAGGTATGGTGAGTTTTACCGCCTTTTTCACCTGTGGACTGTGGAAGCAAGAGCGATCATTTGGTGTTAAGTTCGCTACCGGTGAGCATTCTCAATCGCGGCGGGCTTTGAACCATTTTGGGAGCCGGAAGAAACGGATCGCGATTTTTCCGGGGTTCTTGCTCAGGAAGGAAAAGTGCAGGACCAGTTCAGGTCAGTTGGGCTTCGTAAACGAACATTGACTCTACAGTGTAAAGCGACGTAGTTTTTCGTGAGTCCAGTGAAGTGCTGTTTGATAACTTACTCAAATAAGGTAAGAAAACTGGGTTACTTTTAAGGTTGCTTACTAGATTGTGGTTCTCAAAGTTTCTGAAACATAAAATAATTGTATATACTTTCCTGACTGTGTTTCAATTCCAAATCAAATTTATTCCTGGGTTTCAGTCATTTATTGTCTCTATTTATTAATGAAAATTTTGATTAATAAATAGAGACAATAAATGACTGAACCTCAGGAATGAATTTGATTTTGAACATAAAATAATGCCAAGGGAATATTTTCTGCAGACAGAAAGTTTGCAATAATTGGCCGGATATCCCGGGGACTCGATTAGTTTTGCCATGGATGTATCAGATTTTTTTTTGGGTTTGCACATTAGTGCCCCCCCCCCTTTTATAAATCCAAGTTGTTAACATTTATTTGTAAATTTTCTTTGGATTTGGATTTTTAACCTTGTTCAAGGGCGCATTTCTAAGCTTCTACTTGCTCTTAGTATTCGCTTCCGTATATTTTTATCGCTGAAGAGACAAAATTAAACTGAGCTTAATTTGTTAGGAAACTTTAATATTGGGTATTAAAACCGCGTTTGCGCTCGTCTTTGCAATTCGGGAATAATTGCCGAAATAATCGCATTAGTTAAACTGCTCCCGTATTCTTTTGTAGGTACCTATCTGAAATTATTCTATTTTAAGTTGGGTGAAAAGAATAAGAATATCTGCTATAACACATTTTTATACAGCGAAGAAACTTTGCAGGGGTTTCTGTTATAATGGGCGCTCTGTCCCAGGCCGGAAATCGGATGCATATTACTTAAAAAAACAATGTAGCCAAGAACTATTTAAGGCGCTTATATTGACAAATTGTTCGTTGATTTCCAGAAAATCCTTCATAAATGGAAACAACATATGTCGGATTGATACACAAGCTGTGAATAAGGAAGATGTTAATTTCAAACGGAACGCCACTGGCAACCGGGAACGACTTCAGCGTTGCCACGTTGTCAGGTTGCTGTCCAGTGCCGGCGGCTCGCTCCGGATTGGTCAATTGGAAAATGGATCCTGTGGGATTGCCTGTGCCCAATACGGCACCCAATGTGCTACCAACTGGAGTGGCTCTTAGTCCCACAGGTAAATTTGCTATTAATCCCCCAATCAATAAAAAATAGGCAACAAAACTAGCTACAAATTAATTTCACACCTCTCGATACCACTAGCAAGCCCACGCTGCCCATTTTGATTTGTAATTATATGAATATTTTTTTAAATTAATTACCACACTTTATTACTTATCTACATCTAAAGTCGGATTAGGAAGCTACTTTTTCGGAGCCGGTTTACTGACAAGATTTAGTGCGTCGGAGGTCTTGAAAGGTGCAGTGTTATTAATTAAAGTTGAGTTTACAGTGATGTAATTATAGCGAGGTTAATACCAACAATTTAAATTATATGTTTAATCACGAGCGTTGTTAAATATGAGTGGTTTGATATACAGGGTGCGCCCACAGATGCAACTCAAATCATTTGAAAGCTACAAGTTCAATTATAGGTACGTAGGTACTCTTCGAACGTACCTATTTAATTTACAGAAAAGGCAATGGAATTTTTTTTTGGTTATTCTTTGTGTTCGATTGAACATCCGGAATTTTAAACTTTCCACGATAAAAAGTAATTTTTACTTACTTCAGTTGGTAGAAAATGAAGCGATCGAAAAAGCAGAAAAATGATAATACTAATCCTGTCTCTGAGTGCTGAGATTCTATCTGTTTGGAAGATATCTAGTACGAACAGAGCAAGTAATTTTGTGAAGAATGTGTGAAAGTTCAATTGTTAAATTAATATCTGCAGGTACCTACCTGTCTTCCCGGCGTTTACCTACGCAGTAGAATGTTGGACCTTAAAGAAGACAGAAATATAGAGGTTAAATGAATTTTAAGTTGAACGAGTATAATTGGAAACCATATTGTTATCAAAAGGATGAAGTAAGAATAAGAGACAGCGATTACTATAAAGAAACGCAAGCGGCTCTATCTTGGAACATATAACTCGTGAAGATATATACAACTTATTGCATATAAATTCAATGTAGATATGGTATTAAAATTTCTCTTCCTGGGTCAAAACTGCTCGAATTTCCTCATTAATGTTGTTATGACTGAATCGAATTTTCAATTCTCTATCCAATGATGCCAAGATGAATTCTGTAGCTCAAATGGGGCTCGAGAAACTTCGAATAAAAAGTTGCGTCAAGTTTGAGTCGATTGGCAACTCAAAAAAAACACACACGTAATCTAAAACTGCTTGAAATTTGGACTTTTTTGAGAAAGCTGGCAACATTTTCTTATCGATGGTTCACTTGCTAAAAAAGCCATTTAGTTCTCTCTCGAACGACCTAAAAATGAGCATTATTACTCATTTTGCTTACGAGAAATGAGCAAAAAGGGGAGGAAAAATATGAAATTTTGGTATAATCTTGGACCCAAGTGTCTGATATACAAATTTCACTTTCTGAGTACAAACTACTGGAATTTTCCCACTCGTATTGTTATGAGTCGATCGAATTTTCAATTCTCTATCCAACGATGCCAAAACGAATTCTGCGGCTCAAATGAACCTTGAGGAACTGCGAATAAAGCAGCGTAATGTTGGGTCGATTTTGCAACTCAAAACAAACACGTAAACCAAAAGCTTCTTGAAATCAAGACTGGAGAGGAGAAGATTTGAAAAAGAGAGATCTTGCTAATTTTGCTTCCAAGAAATGAGCAAAAACGGGATGGAAACCATGAAATTTTGGCATAATCGTGCACCTAAGTGTCTGATATGCTAATTTCGTTTACTGGGTCAAAACTACTCGAATTTCTTGTCTCATGTTGATATGACCGAGTCGAATTTTTAATTCTGTCTCCAACGTTGCCAAAACAAATTCTGAGGCTCAAATGATTTTTGAGAGACTCTTAAAAAAGAAGCGACATGTTTGAGTCGATTTTGCAACTCAAAAAAAAACACGCAAATCTAAAATTTCTAGAAATCAAGACTTTTTTGAGAAAACTGCAACATTTCTTTATTGGTGGTGTAGTTTCTAAAAAGGCCATTTAGTTCTCTCTGGAATTATGTAAAAATGAGTGTTGTTGCTCATTTTGCTTCCGAGAAACGAGCAAAAACGGGACGGAAATCACGAAATTTTGGCAAAATCTTGCACCTAAATGTCTGATATTGAATATTCGCTTTCTGGCTCAAAACTTCTCAAATTTCCTCATTCACGTTGTTAAGACTGAATGGCATTTTCCATTCTCTATCCAACGACGCCAAAACGAATTAGGTGTCTCAAATGGGGTTTGAGAAACTTCCAAAAGAGCAGCATCTTGTTTAAGTCGATTTTGCAACTGAACTTAACTGAAATTTAATGATAAATGTCTGTAAGTTCTTTAGTTTTAAACCCTTTGTTGGAAATTGTTAAGCACCGTTAAAATGAAAAAAGTATTCCGAGCCGAAGTAGTGCGTTTCTTCATTCTGGTTTCGTTATTCAACATTTCCACATTTCCATGCAAAGACAAGGGAAGGAAGTAAGGCAAAAAGCCAGTTTTCTTCTGTGTTCCAATTGGTAACCTAGTTAGCAAAATTTTTAATCACGGTAATTGCACGATGACTTTCATATTAAAAAGGATCTAATAGATAAATAAGAAACATAAAGCAGTGATTGACATGCCCTAGAGTAACATTCACTGAATCAGAACAAAAGCGCCTGCTACATGTTCACCGATAAATCAGATTGTAGGTAAATCAACGTCAATTTTTTAATTAATTTTTTCCAACCTATACGCGATATCACACAAAGCAAAAAACGTATGAAAATGTTATGCAAACTGATTGGCTTTAGCATATGCATCCGACACCATCTACACAGCCAGATGGTAAAGTCGCGACTAATTGATGCCATAATTACAATATTTTCCACTGTTTTACACCTAAAATTGCTTTGGAAATATGCACGATAAGAGAGCAACAAATTAAATGCCAAACCGACTGAGCTACATGTGTTATTTTTTTTAATAAACAGATTTCATTAACCTGGTTTTTCAGCAGGTGCATTGTCGCGATTTTTAACGAACGAATTAATAATTTCAGCAAAAAATCGATATGATTCCGCTCGGTTTCATGCTACGAAATCAGGTGGTACCGACTGTCGGAAGAATTGTTATATAATATCAATTTATTTTTATTAGAGTTTATTTATTTAATATTTATTTTTCTAATTCAGTTATTAATTAAAAAACTGTAATTTTTTGAGACGGTTAGCCCTTAGTAATTAATTACGGCGCTGTTTCATAACATGATGCTTTAAAGTAGTCGATTTTTCTTACAGATGTTGAGACAATTTGAAACTCAATTGTTGAATAAAATTCTTGCTTGAAATTAAATGTGAAATTATTCTCAGGAAGTTTAATGGGAAAACGCAAATAAAATACATGGGTGTGTTGAAAAAAATAGCAGATGCAAAGAATAATAAGTACAACAAATCAAAATATTGATTGAAAATCAGGAAACTAGTTGTCAACATTAAATTATAACGTGGTCTCTGAGAGAAAATTGATTTTGAAATCATCGGAAACGGCAATGGACAAGCAAGAAAAGAAAAAAAGACGACATTTCTCTTTAAGTCATGAGGTTTCTGCAAAAGTCTGCTTTCAAGGTATGTAAATCCAAAGCAAAACCCCCTCATAAGAAAATCACTGATTAACCCCTGAAATTCTCTTAATGCTGTACAAATAAAGTTGCACATAGAAGTTTTTTGTGAAAACGATTTCTTACATAGTTTTGGCAGTTTTTGCGTAAAATTCTGATAAACTGGCTTGAATTTGGAATCAATCAAAACTTTGTAAACCACGATGTGGAAATATTAAAAAAATTAAAGCTTTGAAGAGAATGAGCTTAAGCTGGATAATTATATACAGGGTGATTAATCAGCTTTCGAAAATCCGAACATCAAATTGCTACAGGTTGAATAGTGCTGCTGTTGTTTGACTATTCTACGTTCTAGTAATGTGAAAACTAACGTGGCTCGAGTTTAAAATCTCTTGCAACTAAAGCATTGTGATCGTTCAATCGATTTTTATCAAAAACGTATGGAAATAATCGAATTAGACCGCATAGATAATGGAAAATTTGTTGCTCATACAGATATCGAAACGCAATGTTCAATATTACAGGACAAAAGGTGTTAAAAGAGACTGTCGAAAAACGGTTTTGGATATCTAACTTCAATACTACCGACTTCGTTAAAGAAATAAAATATATTTTTCAATATGCAAAGAGCAAAACCAGTCCTTTACTGATAGATTAAAGTGAAATGTCTTCAGCCGCCAAATTATTGAATCGCGCTGTAGTAAACAAATATATTGAAAAAATTTTCCCTAGACGTGCCCCTGAAACCTGCTGAGAAAAAGTTATGAGACCCTAAGAAAAAAAGTTCATGTTTTGTGGATTGCTGATTACTCAGACTCAGTTTGTTCGATTGAACCAAATTCTTAAGATGCAGTTGCATTTCTGAGACAATATCCGCATATTGCCAACAACCAGAACTGGTCTGCCAGAAGAACCAAATTGAATGAAGTTAGTCCTAAGTATATCAATTAACTAAAAGCTCGGTTTTTTATTGGTTCCTAAACACAAATCAGAATAGCAAGCAGTAAAAAGGAGCCGATTTGTAACTTTGCCACATTTTGCTTAAATACCGCAAAACACTAAATACCAATAACAACCATCTTAGATCCAACCGTCCATCACTAATAATCGCAGTTATTCCGTTCTACAGTTACGCGCACCCTAAGAATGCACCTCAGCCTCTTTTTTCGAAAATCCTTCAGCAACAGCGCGGATTTCTTCATAATAACTTATGTCGAAAGCAATTAAACGATCATAAAATACCACTGCCGGTACGCGCGCCGCCTTACAATGGGCCACATCGAACCGTAGAACTCGAAATTGGAAATAAATAAATCAATTAACGATGCTAATTAATTTGGTTTTTCTCTGCGTATTAAGAAAGTCACAGCACAATGATTGTTAATATAAATATTTATGGGGCATTTGTTGGTGTCCCAGTGGTGGCGTCCTCAGAATGAGCAGAACTAACATCGTTTCAAAGTAATGCTGCTTATTCGCTAGCAGGGTTTCAAGCATCTATATTAGTTAGATTGTAAAAACATTAATTTCATTTAAATATCCACGCGTCATATGCTACGCCGCTGAACCAAATTACACATTAATTCCATTGAATTGAGTTGGAAACCCAGTAAATCTTGGCAATTGATATCGATTGCCCATAATGCGACTGGCAAAAAGTGGCACAATTCAAATTCGAAAAAATTTTTGACAAATCACTATCGATCTAAATGGTGGGCCGTGCGACGATGGTGATTGGTGACCAGTTCTTGTTGTATTTTTGATTTATTAAACATTGACTTTCCTGAACCGATCGACCGCATATAATTCCGTTATTTCTTCGGCTTTTTCAGGTGCGATAGGCATTAAATTAATAATTATTGCAGTGCTGTTGTGGTTGGCAAAAGCATTTATGATTTCATCACGTTGCAGACATTTTGACCACCATATCCACGTTATACACATGACTGACAAATATTTTTCATTTCTCTCAGACATACCGATTCTATATATTCCTTATCTACCTTATCATATCTTCTTCATGTATTCTTATAGATCCTGCTTCTAACTTCGCGGTAACTTAACTATGCTCATGCAAATAAGCTTCCATAGCAATAAACCGCTGCCAACTTAAGGTGCTCTTCTGTTATGACTAGTAATTCTATCGACTTCTTATCTGCAGTTCGGTAGTGAATTAATTTTTTTTAAGTTTAAGAAGGTTTCTTCTGATTGAGCTGGCCTAAAATCCAACAATAGTTTTGATTTTTCTTATTTTTTTCAAAATGTTGAAGATCTAAATTAAGTTTCCATTGCTTCAGAATTTTGTAACTTGCAACATTTTCCATTATTTAAAGGTCCCAGGTTCTTAGCCCTCAGTTTTGAGAGCAGGAATGTGAGGAAAACTAAACTATTCACTAACTTATGTTTTAGACTTTCTAGACTAGAAGAAAAATAGCCGTAATTTAGTAAAATGTGAGGGTTTAATGCGAGTTTTACCCAAAAAATGTTTAAAACTCAGTTCATAATTACAAGTTAAATTTGGCTCTGCAAATGAAATTTTCACCTTTGAATGTGACTAATGTTGAACATACATGGGAATATTTCAACCATGAGTTAAATTTGTGGGGCAATGTAGAAATACAAATTAGAATAAAGATTTATTTAAGAACTTTGATTATTCTAGCCAGTCAAGTAATTGTAATGTAAGTTGCACATATTTTATCTTATAAAATATCCTTAATAAGCTCCTGTACCTTTCAGATACTTTAAAACATCAAGCAAAAGTTTGCCGTTGAATGTAATTTTGTAGTTATTAACAAAAGCCAATTATCTACGAAAAACTGTAAACTTTGTTGTTCATGTGTCTGTAGGCTCGCTCGAATCAATCAATTGATTTCTTCCTGAATCGACATATTTTCCTCTGGTTGGAAACTTATACAGGGTAATCCATTTTATGATTGGGAAAGTAAAGAAAAAGAACCACATAAAATATTCAGATGAAGACGAAAATTTTAATTCCATATAAAGATTAAACCTGGCCATTATACGTGAAAAACAATATCATTTAAATGTCCTCAAAGGGATTGAGGTAATTTCGAATGACTTCGGCACCATACCGGTAATATCTCGGTCATAACTTCGCGGAAATTGGCTTTCAGTTGCTCAAGAGTTTGAGGATTGTTGGCGTAAACACAATTTTTAGCATAGCGCCACAAAAATAAATCGAACGGTGTTAAGTCGCAGGGTCTTGCGGGCCAATTGTCATCACTCAATCTCGAAATTACGCGTCTTGGAAGTTTCTCTTACAATAGGGTTCTATCTGCCAGTGTTGTGTGACTCGGTGCCCCATCCTGCTGGAACCACATGTCTTGCAGATCATAATGTTCCATTTCTCTCCAAAAATAAGCGGTTAACATGCGTCTATAGCGCTCAGAATTGACTGTTATGGCTCTTCCTTGATCGTTTTCAAAAAAATACGGGCTAATAACACCACCGGACCATAATGCACACCATACGGTCACTTTTTCAGCATGCAAATGCCTTTCTGCGATCACCTGAGGATTTTGTGAGCCCCATATACGGCTGTTCCGTTTATCCACGTAACCACCGAGTGAAAAATGAGTCTCATCGCTGAAGAAAATTCGGTTCGAAAAATCATCAACGGGTTGTTGTTCAATCACCCAATTTGCGTATGTTCTGCGTTGCCCATAGTCTTGAGGCTTAAGTTCTTGAGTCAGTTGGACTCTGTACGGATGGAGCTTCAAATCCAATTGCAAAATTCGCCACAATGAGCCGAAAGACAAACCCAAATGTTGAGCACGTCCGAGAATCGACGAATTCGGGTCTTCCTCCACACTTTGAGCAACAATAGCGATATTTTCAGCTGAAGGAATGTTGCGATTATGCACAGGCCTTACAATATCAGTAACCGATCCAGTCTCTTCAAATTTTTCCACTGTGTTTGAAATTGTTTGCTCTGTGGATCGATTATGTCGACCGTAATCTGCTTGTAAAGCCCTAAACGTTGATACAGCAGAATCACCATTTTTATAGTAACATTTAATCATTTTTACGCGTTCTTCGACAGTTAAACGATCCATATTCCAAAATGGCAAATCTTCAGCTAAACCAAAAACGCTTCGAATGACGTTTACCTTTGCCATATATCAAATAGCAAGGTTTTACTTTCTCAACCTCCAATTGGATAACTCGTTATGATTCCTATGAAGAAAATGTATACTTGCTTCAATTTTGTCGCCTCTTGCTTAATATTATTATTACTTAATTAAAAATAAAACTTTGCTCTGTTTTCAGTGGCTTCATCAGCATCAATTCCACCACCAAACTCGGCCTCATCTTCAGTATCAGGATCGCCATCAATTCAATCATCTTTAAGTACGGCAGCTTTTCGTGAGCTCTATGGTGCTTCTGGTGCGGTTCCACCAGGCCATCCGCTCGCCTCATTGGTGAGCCAGCAGCGTTTTCTGGAGCTGTCCAGGTTCGGACTGCGTCAGTACGACTTGGCGCAGCATATGCTTACTCAACAGGGCGCAGTCACCAAACTCCTGGGTAACTCCACTAATGTTTCAGTTAATTAGGGTTGAGCGATGGACGGTTTGCTCGAGTCGGTTGCATTTTCGTAAATATTTACGGTAAGAAAATTGTGACCGGCATGCGATCTGTGGTGTTCTCACGCGACAAAAGACTGACTTGAGCAGGCAGGGGAACCATAATTTTTCCTAATGTCGCCAATTAAGTTGTTTGTTATGTGAACATGTTTACATGTTGTCAATACTGGTAGATCCTATGAATTGGTTATGATAGTGACGACTAGACCGATGCACCGTTTTGTCAGTAGCGGAGTTTTTCATAAAAATTCATAAAAAGGTCCAAAAGCTCAGGAAAAAAACTGAGAATAAGTCATGTGAGGACTAACCTTTAAAGCTTGGAGGAGCAGCTTTAACTAGACGATATTGAAGGAACACTTAGGTACTCTTGTTCGTTTCAATCAAAGACCATTTCACAGTTTCACTGGTGTGCTCCTAATAATTAAGGCAACTAGAACTGCTTGTATATTAAGTAAAGCAATTTGGAATACAGATTAATTTTTACATAAAATGACCATTTTAGAGGGCATATTTAGAGCCTGAGAAAGTTGGATGCGTGCTCTGCTAGTCAACTTTTTACTGAAAGATAAGCAAAATAAACGATAATCACTAGGGTGAACAACGAAATTTGACTTCTTGGGTTAGAAACGCTTCAATTTCAATTCAAAATGGTGAAACTGATTAAATGGGCATAAGGGTTGCACAAACAAACATCAGGTATAATCACATAAGACACAAGAAGCTCATTGAAGAAGCGTTCATTCAGCGGGCGAGTGAAGAAAAATTGCCATTTCTTAGCGGAATTCACACAGTAGACCTAAGTGTGAGGCCACCCTGTGTATATGAAATTGGAGGGCAAAAAATTTGCATGTCTCGAAATGGGCATTACCGTTCCATCAGACCCATGGGACGAGTTGAAATGGCGCAGGTGCCGATTGGTACTGCACAGACAAAAAGCTCATTGTCGCCACTCAATATGCACAGATCGAGTCGAGAAATTTTCTGTAAAAGGCGCAGAACACACAACCAGAAAGACCGACGCGGTACCTCAGTGCGTTTAACGGCCTCCACTTAATACCAAATCAGAAACAAATCACTCTTGACTGATTTTTATTGCTACTTTTACATTGTCCGGCTGACTGCGGCTGCAATTTTTTTCGGAGAGAAATTCCTGCAATCGAAAAATCCTGTTCGACTAGGCACGAAAATGTTGGAGCCTGGAAATCATCGAATTTCGTACAGAACGGTGCCGGGTTATCAAGATAGTTGAACGTAATTGGTAAATAATACGAGAGAGAACCACTGAAGATTAAGTTTCTTGACAGGGACAAGCGGACAGAGTTTTTTCAGAAAATTTGTCACGCTAACCATAAAAGAACCAGTTAGCTCGAACGACCACGACGTAAATAACACACCACTACAGTCTAGTTTGAGCCGGGAAATAAACCGTTTTCTTAATAGTTTTCCTTTTCCTTCTTCTGGCTTATCACTTGTAAATTCACTATTTGAGAAACATACCATAACAAAAGCACATTCTATAATTTAAATTTAATTAGTAAACATACTAAATCGGAGCGTTATTCTCGCATTTATCAGTGAGAACTTTTTCATGCATCCAGCTCGAAGGACCAAAACATAAATTGTACTGCTAATTCTGTCGGTTCTTTTAACGTTGAATCAATGAAGACAATCACAAAAAATAAACACCCCAGAACAATGCCCATATAGCAGATTTAAAATGAATATAAGGAAATGTGTTTCTTTGATAAATTCAGTGGTTTGTTGCTTTGTCCAGACTGAAGATATTCGCCTCTGCCACAGGCATTGGCAAGGAAAACGCGCCTTAATAAAACTGTACAGATTGTTTGAGTCATCCGACCCGAAGGACCAAAATGAGAATGAAATGAAAAGATCTTCGTGTTTTGTAAATTTGTTTTGAAATTCGGCGCCTTTCCATTAAAAACATGTGACTCGTAAACAAAACCAATCAGTTCTTTTGAACTTCATCAACGCAAAAAAACCTATCCAAATCTACGTATTAATCAAATCATCAAACAGTGAACAGTTTGGCCCTCAATAAACAAAACCTGCTTTGGAATGAAACATTATTTTAATAACAGTGAACGCGTTGTTTTCTACATCCGGCTCGAAGGACCAAAATATGAATAAAAATTAATAAATTCGCCAAAGTAATTGCTGTTCGCAGCTAACAAATATTGGAGAGTGAGTTTTTCTGGAAAAAAAATTGAAACATGTAAGTGTCGAGTCAATCAACGCTTACATACAAAGTTGCCTCATAACTAATAGACTTATTACAGAATGCTCAGTCTACTGAAAACACTTTCAAAAGCAATTTCAGAGAAAGTCGAAAAGCATTACTGTTGAATGCAAGCTCTAGATGAACCTATAAAGTGTGACAAAAATGCACGTCTCGTTTAGATTGCCAGGAATAATATTGGGAACGTATAAATTGAATCGTATTAAATGGTTTTTGTTTTTGTAGATTGTCTTAACTACGCATAGCTCAAATTGAATAGAAAAAAACCGGAGAAGAAGCTGGCAATGTTGTTATTTATCGCTTTGCGGTCGATGCGGTTACAGATTAATTTTAGGTGGACTCGAAAATGATCAATGTATTTGAAATGGTTCAGTGTGTTAAAATGGGATCAACCATCAAAGCCGACCAAATATTGGGTTAAACCGGCTGAAAACTTGTCTTCAGATCAGGTTGATTATCTGGAATATGACGATTTGATTGTTTTGTGCATTGCAAACCCACATACCATTGCCAAGCTTCAATCCGACGAAGAGAAAAGGAAAACTCAAGGTATTTGGATAAATCATCGATTTATCTGACTGGCGAGCTGTTAATCGATCTGGATCGAGAGCGCGTCCGCAAAAACCCGAGATATTAATCTAAAATCGCCGATGCCCAATTAGCATCGACCAGAAATCACCGGATTAAGTCACAGTCCTATCATTTATTACGATTTATACCGATAAATTCCCATAACTGGGACCTTGTCGTTTCACCAACAATTAGCCACGAATTTATGGGTCCATTCCTGTCCCTCGATAACGACGGTAAGGCGCTTCCAAATGATTTTTCGATAACTACAGGGTGTTTGCCACTTTATAGTCCACTGTGCGATTAAATATAGCAAGGATCATTGGAGTCACAATATACTCACAAACCTTGTTTTTAGAAGAAAAAATGGTGAAGAATGCAACCTGCTACAGAAACCTTGCACTCACTATCCGACCAAATATTTCAATGGCGTAATGGATGAGAAGAACAAACCGAATCTTATCCAGATTTGTTGCATGAAAACGGTTTAAAATTTATATTCCTCTATACAAGTTTTCAAAGTTTTTTCTAACATTTGTAGTAACTATAAGACTATGTTCTATGTAACTATAAGCAATTGCAAAAAATGTCGCATCTTCTTCAGATCTCATATCAATTTGTCTCGCCAATTTCCTCCAATTGGGATTTTGAAACAATACTTCCTTCAAAATTCCTAATAATGTATTGTGACATAGAAAACTAGATTGAATATGAGAGCTTTTGTGTTAATTCACAATGATCGATCTATAATTTTTGGTTCTTCAGGTAGCTTGAAACACGGACAAGCGTGAGAAAAAGGCAGAAAATATACAGGGTGTTCCGTAAGCACATGATCAAAAGAGTACTGCGATATTCTTTGGATCAAAAGAAGACGATCTGACCTAACTTTTATTAACAAAAAATTTCTCCTGTGCTATTGATGGTCAAAGTTCTTCAAAACAAATATCTTTTTTGAAATATCGGGAGAATGGTACGATGCATTTTAGTGAAATTCGCTGTAAATTTGTTCTTATGTAAGACTCATATTTTAATGAAACAATCGAGTTCAGCCGTTTTGGATAAAGGGTGAATTTGAGTTTACGCTGCGCATATTTGGAGTTAATGTCTACATTGTCAAGTGGCAAGAAAACAGAAATCTTTTTTGCACAAAAACTATGAATGCTACAAGATTTTATGAAGAGAACAAAATTGTGAATAATTCATTAGTGCATCAACCAGAAAAAATGAGTTGATTTCATCCGCCAAATAAAAAGTTCTGGTAGTTTTTGTACCACGACACGCAAGAATTCACCACTTGTCCAAAACGGCTGAACTCGATTGTTTCATTAAAATATGGGTCTTACATAAGAACAAATTCACAGCGAGTTTCACTAAAATACATCGTACCATTACCCCGATATTTCAAAAAAGATAATTTTCTTGAAGAACTTTGATTATCAATAGCAGAAGAGCCAGACATTTTGTGTTAATAAAAGTTAGGTCAGATCGTTTTCTTTCGATGCAAAGAATATCATTTTGATCATGTGTTTACGGGACACCCTGTATAGTTTCGTTGCACCAGCTAAGCCTGGACGTTCAGTCGGTTAATGTACGTTGAATGTTCCGGAATTGTAATTACTTTTATTCAGTTTTTTTGACAATTTAAGTTAAAAATCTAAAACCATAAGTAAGGACTTAGAAAGCTGTAGTTTTAACACTGTTTTTAAGTTAATCAACTTCATAGATCTTATAAAGGTGATGTTCAATATTAACTTTACTTATTTTAGCACACCTTATTTTTGATCGAAAACGATTGATGATACTGATCATGTCTATTTTTCGTCTTCTGCAAGTTTCATATGTTTATTTCAATTTATTTTTTATTACGATCACTATTCGGGCTAGTGGAATTTTTATATTTTTAAATAAACTTATTTTTCCAAGTGTTTCCAAAGCTATTAAACATTTTCTCTAATGAGACAATTTTTCTCCAATTTCAAAGACTCACGTTGATTGATTCACGATCTACCTATTCATTCACAAAATGTTATTTAAGTCGAAACCACCCAACAAGGTTTTCTCGAGCAATCTTTAGCAATTTGGTCCATACTTACACAATATTTGTGTAAGATCAA